CAGGTCAGAAAAAGGGGGGGGCCCCTTTTTTATTTTAAGAAAAAATGGGGAGGGGAGGTCGGGTTAAGTGAGGAGAAGGAAGGGAAGGGAACCGCCTAAAAGATGAGGGGAAATGAGGGGTGGGAGAACTGGGAGGCGGGCTTGGGGGGGGGGGGCGGACGGGAGTCTCTGCCTAGCCCTAGGGAGCAGAATGAGGCCGAAGTGGGGAGCCGAGGGGCGGGGGGCTGAGAAATGTGGGAGGAGACTGGATTTTCTAGGGGCTGAGGGGGGACTATGGCGGGTGGGGCCAGGGAAGGTGGGATCATGCTGGGGTCCAGACGCAGGCCGGCTTCCAGGCCCCCCTTCCCCGCCCCCATCGCAGTTGCGTAGGCTCCAGCACCGGGCGGGGGAGGAGCGCATCCCGAGGGCCGGCTCCTCTTCGGCTCCCGCCGCTCGGGTTCCCACCGCGGACGCCTGGGGAGGATCGCAGGGTGGGGCAGAGTCCGGCGGCCACCGCTCCCCGTCCAAACTCGGGCCCGCTGCGGCCGGGCGCGGGGGGCGGGCGGTAGGACCGGAGGACTGGGCCACCGGGTATGGGAAGGAGGCGAGATCGGCGCTTCAGGTGGCTCCTCCTCGTAGTTTAAAGTTTGCAGCAGGCGAAGGAACCGACTCCGTCCACCCTCTGCAGCCGGCGCCCGCGGCTCGGCCGGATCAACTCAGCCTCCCCTCACCCTCGGCGCGTCCGGGGGCCACTCCCCTCGGGTCCCCCGCCCCGCTCGGGTCCCGGATCCCCTCTCCGGTCTCCATCCCTCCCAGTGCCCGCGCCCCCCGCTCCCTCCCTCCGCGCTGGATCTCCGACAAGACGTGAGCGGAAAGTGAATGGGCAGCCCGACCACAAAGACAAATCACCATGAGACAAATACATCGAGAAATCGCCGCTCGCGCCCGGGTTCCCGCCGCCGCACCCTTCTCCGCTGGCCGAGGCGGGAACGCGGGGCTCCTCGGCCGCTGCGTCCGGGGCCTGGCAAGGCAGAGTTTGGGCTCCGCAGGGCCGGGCCCGGGCAGGGGTCCGGGAACCACCAGGGCGGGGGCCCCGAAGGTGGCAATGGAGCGGGAACGTCCCCGAGCAACAGATTTTACACTCCGCGTGGGCCACGGGTTCCCACGCACCTCGCCCGCCCGCTCGCTCCCTGCGCGGGGATTACTCGCCCGCCCTCTCTGAACCTCCATCTCCGCGGGTCTCAGAGCCTCCGCCCCGCTCTCTCCCAGCCATTCATTCCACCGTCCCCTTCCTACAGGCCGGCCCTCGGGCCCCCCTCGGGCAGCCCAGACGCGCCGACCCCGGCCGGGCGAGGACCCCGGACAGCCGGACCCGGAGCGAGCGGGCGGCGGGGGGAAAGGCAGCGCGGAGGGCGCCCAAGCCGAGGTGTCTGCGGGCGGCGCGGAAGCCCGAGGACCCCCTCTTCGCCGGCCCGACGCCTCTGCCACCTGGTTCCAACTTGCCCGCGTCCCTGGCCCCTACCTCTCTCCCCACCGAGTTGCTGAAGTTTGAAACTTGCAGCCCCAGCCCGCGCACGGGCAGCGCCCGCGGTTCCCGGGACTCACCTCCGGGTTGCGGGCGCAGGTGCCCGGCCCCCGGTGGCTCCCGGCTCCGGGAGAGGCGGAGGCGAACCCGGAGGGCTGGCGGCCGGTCTGGGGGATTGGGCAGCCGCGCGGAACGGCCTCCGACTCTGGGGCTCGGCGCTCCGATGCGGTCCCGGCCCGGGCCCGCGCCCGCTAGGCTCGGGCTCCCTCTAGCCGCCGCTGGACGCGCGGCCGACCCGCCCGGCTCCGCGGCCGCTGAGGCGCTGGCAGCAGTCCTCGCGCTCCAACTAGCTCCGACCCGGCGCGCGGGTGAGAACGGGGAGGAGGGGACGGAGGGAGCAGGAGGGGGAGGGACGGAGGGATCGGCAGTGGGGGAGGAGTTGAGAGCGAGGGGAGAAGAGGAGGGGAGCTGGAGCGAAAAGGAGGAGGGGGTGGAGGGGACCAGCCGCGGCGCGCGCGTCTGTCGCCAGCCCGGAGGCGTGCGCCAGAGCGCGAGGGGGCGCCCTGCACCTTCCCGTCCCCGACCCGGCCCGACCCTCGCCCCTGGCCTGCCAAGGGTGCGTTGCCCGGGCGTAGGGGTGGGGGGTTGAAGTCCCGTTCAGCAGTCGGCTTTGGAGCGGTGAGAACCAGGTCCCCGAGCACTTGCCGCCTTTGGCTACGTCCTGCCCACCCGTTCTCATGAATCCCCATCTGGAACCTGACTTCCTCCCGGGGCCTCCTCCCACCCGCACCCTGCCCACCCAAACCTTGGGGCCTGAGGAACGTCTCCTTTCTCCCCCGTTCCCAAATCCCCCAGCCCAGTTTGCTAGGGACGATCTCCCTGCCTGTGCATTTGAAGGCGGAAAGAACCGCGTGCAGCACAGGGTAAAATCTGGTGTGAACTGCAGTAGAAGAGAGGGCGGCGAGGCTGCTGGGCTGGGCTGGAAAGCCAGAGCTGGCCGCATTAGGGCTGACAAGCTGGACGACCTTAAGTGAACCTCTCCAAGCCTCAGTTTCCTCCTCCATAAATCAGGGTGGGTAAGACCTACCATACAGAACAATTTGAAGACCAAGTAGGGGGCTACAGTGAGTAAAATAACACCAGGAACGCTGGGAGGGCATCCAAGAGATTAGCGATTCTGGGAGGCAGTCGGCGAGCGCTCTGAGCTGAGGAGGAGGCTTAGCGATCAAGCTGAGGAAGGCTGCATTGTTGACAAGTTTAATGTCTAGTGTTTCTGGTGGCGAGAAAGCGGAGGGAAGGAGAGGGGCAAGCTTCAGATCCTGTGCCCGAGCTGCGAGAGGGAGGGGAAGGGAGCCCTCTTGTGAAGGAAAAAGGTATTTAAAAATAAAAAAAAGGTGACCTAATTCTTTTTTTTTTTGGGGGGGGGGGGGGGGGGGGGAGAAGGTGGGGGAAAACAAAACAAAGAATGAAGGAGAAAGACCAAGGACCTGAAAAAATTCAGCCCCCAGAAGTATGATTTTAAGAGATAACCAAAGAGAATTATGAAATAAAAATAGATACGTTGGAAGAAGGAAGACATTAAAAAGACTTTCTAGTGTATGCCAGAAATTGAAGAAGTAGAGTAAAGCATTTTACATAACAAAATTCTAGGTAAAGGAATTTCCAGATAAAGCTGAGGAATGGAGACAGCACGAATCCCAGAGAAGCAACTTCCCCTACACACACACACACACACACACACACACACACTCACACTCACACTCTCTCACACACACACTCTCACACTCACACACACACTCACACACACACTCTTACACACACACACACACACACACACACACACACTCACACTCCCCTCTGAACCAAGGTGAGAGCAGTTTGGCCAGGATGATGGAAAAGCAAGAAGGGAGTTTATGAGATGTTCTAAAAAGGGAAACAGTGCACAATCTCAGAAATAAGGACTTTCTAGGGCAACAGAAATGCTGAAACTCATAATGTGCAGAATGGAAAGAAACTTGCAGAGATAAGACACACTCTGGCCCAGAGGAGATGTAGAGAAGAGGATAAAAAGAAGGAAATGGGTGTGTGGGGGCATACCACTCTGGCAGCCCAAACATTTAATTAAGGGCAGAAATCAAGTTGGAAGAGGTAAATCCAGGGCATCCAGTCCAAACATATCATTTTACAGACAAGGGCAATGAGACCTAAAGAGGGGAAGCAATTCTCCCAGAGTCCCAGGCTGGGGTGGGGGCAGGGCTATGAGTGCTGTCCCCCTTCCTCATCCCCATTCCCTGCAGAACCATGGGGACTGCTTTTGCCATTGCAACAATATAAGTGCGTGAGATATATAGACACCTCTTAATTAATACGAAAACATGAGAGTTTCCCATTTGTCTAGTTGGCAGCATAGATAAAATGCCTTCTGAGTGGTTCTGTTAGCAGCAGCTCTCTCTTGGAAGACAATAAAAATCCTCTCCATTCTTCATCCTATTCTCTCAGCCTCCTTCTCTTTTCCACCATGCCTTGATGGTTTTCTCTTTCTTCTCTTCCCACCATCATTTCCTGCCCCATCCTGGCTCTCCTCCCCATTATCAATGACCATGGGAGGGTCTTGGTTCAGGAAGAGAAGAGAGCAGACCCCAGTCTGGGGACACAGGCAAGGAATCCTCCCTTTTCAGGAGAGGCAGGAGCCAAGAAGAGGAGACACCCGAGGAGACACAGACAGAGGAGCAGAGCTGCTTGGGATGCTGGGCTAATTAATCCTAATTGCATCCCACAGCATTGTATTGATTAACAGTGATTACTCAAGAGCTCTCAGTGCAAGACAGCTTCTGAAGTCCAACCCTCAGGAAGGGACCGTTGCTTTACTAGCCTGGCTCGCCACCACTTCAGGCACCCCTAGAATTTGGCAAGCCCGGCCTCATGAGAATCTCTGAATCGTCTGGAGAAAACTTGGAGCGCTGACCCCATCACGACAGTGTCACCACCACTTTCTGTCGCCTTCTTTAAACCTTTGCAATAACCTGTGCAATGATTACTTCTATTAGGAGCAGTTCTCCACCTACTGGAATAGTGTTAATTAAGCAGAATGTAAATACAATAATTATTACAGAATTATCCAAAACAAACATGCTAAAGAACAGCAAAATAGGGGGTGGGAAAGAGTTCTTAGAATTCACTCTTGACCTAGAAATTCCAAACTTATCTTGAACTAAGGTGCTAAGGGGTTAAGAAGTAAACCCAAACTCTTATGCTTCAGGGTGACAAACCTGACCTCTCCTGCCTCTACCAGAGGGCATTTTCTAGGAGATCTGGCTGCCTCTGAAAAACAAGAGCGCAGCCTCGCCCAGGAGTGTGTGTGTGTGTGTGTGTGTGTGTGTGTGCGCACGCATGCACGCCTGTGCAGAGCCCAAGCACAAACACAAGTCTGGCCAGGCAGCAAAAGGCACACAAACACCATCCACTTGTATAGAATAGGATAGAGAGAACTGAAAAGAAGAAGGCAGCAATCATTTATAATTTTTGAACTATCTGCTCATTGTGCCTGGGGATGGGAAAGAAAAAAGAAAATTCCCACTCCAGGAGTCATTGTCAACCTGTGAACCAAAAGCACACTTAGGTCAGAGGAACTGAAGTGTCACTACACGGCAGCTCTGCCATTGTCCTGAGCTAATGTGAGAGAAGAGATCTTCCTTCCTTCCTCCCCAAACATTTAAGTGCCACTCACTCCACCAGGTGGAGAGGTCATAGGAAGAGAAAGCCAGAGCCTCCGAGGCAGACGGGAGAGGCAGACATAAAACCCGGCAAAGTGGAGGGGCGATGACTTGCTCTATCCAACAGGGCAAGGAAGTCTTCACAGCAAAGGACCTTCTAGCTGGGAATGGAGACAAGGGCAGGCATTTGCCAGACAGAGAAGTGGGAGGAGGCAGAGGAAATAGCATGTATGAAAGCACCAAGTGATATAATTAGATTTCTGTTTTGGAATAATTCCTTGGCCCTGGTTAACAGATTTGGAGAGCTGAAGCGGTAAGTGTGAGCAGGTGCATCGTGTGGTGGAAAGAGCACCGCACCAGCAGTTGGGGCTTCTCAGTTCTGGGACCAGCTTGGCCACTGGCCAGCTGGGTGTCCTTGAATGAGCACTTACCCTCTCTGACCTCAGTTCCTCATGGCTGAGAGGGCTTGATCAACTGGTGTCTGAGGTCCTCCTGCATGCACGTTCTATCACTCTAACTCTTCTCACGGATACTTCTTTACGTCATGTTCTTTACCATATTGTGCACGTAGTCCTTTCCATGTGTATAACATTTTGTAGTTTACAAAAGTCTTTTCCATACAATATCTTTTGACCTTTACACCCCTGTGAAGATCGCTACACTGCTGTTCCGGATGACCTTGTGCAGCCCGTGGCTATAAGCACCATCTCTATGCTGATGACATCCAAGGTTGTATCTTCAGCTCTGACCTCTTTCTTGAAACCAGATGCAGAGAACCAACTGCCTGCTGCTCTCCACATGCACATCCAATAGGCAACTCAAACTTAGTATGTCCAACACTTCACTTTTGATTCTTTCCCCAAACTAGCTTTTCCTTCTGACTCCTCGATCCTAGCAAACAAAAACCCCATTCTTCAAATTTCTCAAGGTCAAAACCTTGAAGTCATCCCACACTCCACGTGTAAACCATCAATAAATCCCATGGTCTCTATCTGTGAAATGTTTCAGAATCTTCTCACCAGCTCCTCCACCAGCACCCCAATTCAAACCACTCTCTTCTCTCACCTGGATGTCTGCTCTGCCTGCTTCTACCTTTATACGTACAGTCTGTTCTCCACACAGAAGCTGTCCTAAGTCAGAGCCTGTCACTCCCCTGCTCAAAAGCCTTCTATGGCTCCCCAGCCCAATAGAGGAAAAGCTACATCCTCACCAAGTCTATCAGGACGTTTCTTATATCACCTGGACCATCTACCTTCCTTCACCTCTCTTTAGCCTCACCAGATTCTCTAGTTTCCCAAACACCTAAGGCCACCTCAGGGCCTCTGTACTTGATGTTTTTCTCTGCCAGGAAAGCTCTTCGTTCAGATGTCCACACAGGTCGTTCCTTTAGTCTCT